CTATGGTTGAGGTTTGAAACAGGGAACTCCTAGAAGTTATCATGCATAGGTTTCAGCCTAAAGTTCTATCATCACTTCCTTATCAAAGGAAATGAGATTCCTAAGGGATCATGTCAATGATACATAGAAACAGATAAAGCACCAGCTTAAACAGTAAACAGTAAACGACTGTAAAATGCATGCAATGCAAGTGAGGGAGGAAATGTGTGTGGGGCAGCAGCCTCCACAAGCTCATCTCAACCTCAAGCCAGAATGAATAATAGTAATCATACAGAAAAGTAACAACATGCTATCAAGCAGAATATAAGAGACTGTAATCATACAGAACAAAATGGAATGCTATCAAGCAAAATAAACCACATGGGCAAGGGAGTTGGGCTCTACCGAATACCCGCAAGCAAAGCCATACAGTAAAAATACAAGCAGAGGGAGTAACTCAACTTCTAGTGCAATCATGCTCCTAGATTAAAGTTAGTCTAGATATGAACTTATTCTAATGCATCAAGCAAGTCAAACAAGGCACATCAGCAATACAGAAAAGAAAACAGACAAGAAAGCAGATCAACCCCTCTCTTCCAAGCTTCATCTTTTCACTTAGCAACCCAGTCTTCAGACTTCAATCACCTTTCAAGGCTATCAGCTTCCATGACAAATATCAATTTGTTCCTTCAAGCTCTCAACCTTTCAAACAGAAGTTTCAACTTAATCTTCTTCTTCAACAAGCCTCAGCTTCTCAGAGTAGTCTTCAATCACTTAGAAGTGTCAACTTCATCCTTCAATTTCCCTTAAGCAAGGACCTCCTCACTCTTCACTCCATCTTCATTGGGTCTTCAAGTATCAACTTATTCTTCAAGCCCTTCAAGCTTCAGCTACAATGGCAATGCTCAAGGAATCATCCTCTACCACACTCTTCAATGAAGTCCTCATCTTCAAACTCAAGCCCAACATCTTTCAAGATACTCAAACCAGAAGATAATTGATTTAACAGAGTGAGAGGAAATGATAAACAGCTTACTGACAACCAAAGGAAGCCTGCAAGGGTTCATCATTATGAGAGACTGGTTCCCTCAAAGTTCTACTTCCCAGATAAAGCCACTCATCCTTCCAAAGGAGGGATGTGAATATCTGAGAAGGACTTTTAGTCATTGGGAGGAATGGAAGCACAAGATGCTTTCCCTGTTTGTGAAAGAAATCATTCTAACTACAAGGCTCTCCCTATGTCCTATCTCCTAATCTTCATCAGACACCTTCAGGCACAAGCCAATCCAAAGCTCCAAGCAACTTCAAGCATCCTCACCTTGTATTCAACTTGTCTTCAATCTCAACCAAAATGCAAACAAAGCACAAACCCTAATCTAAGGGGACTAAGGAAGTTAAACTAGTTAGATTAGTAAGTTAGGATCACCTAAAACCTAGTACTAAAGTTAGTCCTAACTAAAATACTAAAATCAATTGAAAAATCCTACAAAAATTTCTATTGGAACCTAGGTCAATCATGACTCTACCATATTAATTTCAAAGATCAAATCATCAAATTGGACCTAGAACTAAATCCTACATTATAAGGTATCAAACCTAAACCCTAAAACGAAGCATCTAAATATCAATCTAGAAAGCACACCTATTTTCATCACAAAAATGTGAGAAAAATTCTATGGGATCATACATGTCTAACCTAATCACACACAAAAAATTAGGCTTAAAATCATCACCATGAGATCAAACAAAATTCTACAAAAATATGCATCAAACATGAACATTTTAATATCAATTAAAATGAAAAATTCGAATTAAATCATAAATTACATGAAATGAAAATATTTTTTCTCTAAAACATAATAGACTCAATCATGAGTAATATGCAAAAAGAATGGGTTTGATTGGATTAATATTCAATTAGTTATGATTTTTACAAGAATCATGAATAAAATGAAAAATTAAATGAAAATCCAACAAAAAGATTAAACACACGGTGCAAGAAGTAATCATTTTCAGTTAAAAAACTGGGTTGGGCTCGCTGGGGGGTGCGAATAGCACTCAGATCACTAAGCCCAAAACATCAAATAAATGAAACGCAACGTTTCTTGCCTCAGGATCCTTCACAACTCAACTTTAAAACACAGCCGTTGGATCAGCTTCTAGTCAATGGTCAGACCATGATCTAATGGTGAAAACTTCATCTTCTCCATTTCAAACGCCTGAGCTTCACACCCAGCTCTGGCCACCGCCGATGGAGCTCCGATCATCCCCTTCAACCCTAGTTCTTCCTAGAGGCCTCCAATCCAAGAGGTCAAAACATGAAACTCATTCCAAATCTTGCCACGAATTCAACCATACCATTAGTTTCTTCTGAAACCTCAAGAATCATCATCTCCTAATCTCAACCGAAAATGGCAATTCACCTAATTTGTCTCTAATTGATCAATTAACCATCTGAAATCCATTCTAGGCCATTCTACAATCAATCTAGCACCCTAATTTAACCTAATTCTACCTAAATCATGCTATAGGAAGAAGGTTACCAACCTGGAAATTCTTGAATAACAGATGCACGAATCCTCCAAATCAAGCTCTCAAATCTTCTGGACACGATCGCTGAACCTTCTTCTTGCTTCTGTATGCAAAAGAATCAATGGAAAGTGCTTCAATCTTGAAACACGATGATGAGTTGCAGGTGCTGAAAACCACTTGCTCCTACACGATCTAGCCACCAATTCTTCTTGAAAATGATCTGAAATCACTTCTTGATACTCATGGAAGAAGAATCAAGCAAGAAAATGAATGGAAATTGAGGAATTTGGTGAAACTGATTTCAATTGCAATCCAAGAAAATTCACTCTCAAACTAAGCTCAATCCTTCAATGATCACCAACCTCTGCCATGGATCCATTCTACTCAATATATAGATGAAGTTTGGATGATCTAGAATCCTCTAGATCCTTCCAATGAGATTTTACACTTCTCATGTCATGAGATTTTGAATCACTTATCATGACATGTACAACCCTTGCAAACAGCTTGGAATTCATCCCATTCACTCTTAATTTCTCCCCTAGTGAGATATTATAGGTTTTTAGCTTGCAAAACCCTTGCCCATGCCTTAATTTTGAGTTTTGCAAATGTGGCTTAATATGCAAGTAAGTGCTTTTCAAAGCAAGTCCATAATTTAGACCTCAAATCAAAAATGTGGCTAAACCAATGTTCTTAAAATGTCTTCTAGAGTCAAAATGATATATTAAATGCCATGGTTTGGATGTATAGGTCAAAAATATCAATTTCCAACTTTGGCTTATTTAACTTATGTCCTTATTTTAGGTCATTTTTGCAACTTTGAGCTACAAGCATTTCCACCATCTCATGACCTCCTTACTAGCCTTAAAACATCGTTTTAAGCAAGTTTGATGTTGAAGATTTTTCCATTTGAAGCTTGGAAATAGGAGTTATGGCCTTATGCTTGAAATGACCTGTAATCTCCAAATGACCATAATGCCCTTGACTTGTCAAAGCCATAACTTGAGTTCTACAAATCCTATCAAGGACTTCTAGTACTCTCTAGAAATCTAAGAAGATAAGGAACAACATTCATGTTGACCAAAAGTCCATAGGAATCATCCTTCTTGGGCAAAGGTTTGATGCAAGTTGGGTGACTTTCAAGGCCCCAGATTCACATACCTCAGATGACCTATAACTTGTCAAAGTCATAACTTGAGTTCTACAAATCCTATCAGGGACTTCTAGCACTAAAATTAAAGCTAAGATCAAGCTCTACAATATTCATGTTGGGGGTAAGATGAGATGACAATCACATCTTGAGCTAAACTGCCTTGAAGATAGGGGTCAAACTAGGGGATTTTACACTGTCAAGCTTTAGAAACCCTAGCTTGAGACTTCTCAAACTCTTCAATCATGAGGAGTTAACCTTGAAATCATCCTTATATCATCTCAATGCATCAATCCATGATCACATGGCCTTTGAATTAGGTCTCAACCTTCTCCAAATCATCAGTTGACCTAGGGTTGACCCAGCCAAACCCTAATTACACCACTCATGGCTGAGTCTTCTCAATCTTGTACCATGACCTATCTAGGCTTCATGATGGCTTTCAAGACATCTCATAGGCTCTCTCAAGGCTCTAAGTTCATCCTCATGGCTTCAGAATCATCTGAGGAGCTCCCACAACTCTCAAGTTAGGAGGCACACAACCTTGGTTTCAACCACTCTCTCTGAGAATCTTCTGACTTCTCTGACAAAGACATCCACCCTTGAACACTTGAATAACCTTCACAGTTAGCTCCATAGTCTTGTGTAGCTCTTAATTGGTACTCATACCTCTTGATCTCCTGCATACATGTCAATGAAATGCAAATGATAATGCTAATGTGAATGAAATGAAACACAAGCTAGGTAAAGAAATGTTGGTCAAATTTTGGGGTGCAACAGATTGTTGTTTCCTCCCATTTTAACTATGTATTGAGAGTGAGAGTAACTAGAAACTAATTGAAGAGAGGAAGTGTGTTGTGTTATGTTGTGTTGTGCTACATGTTTGGAAGGTAGAGGGTCTCAATTTATAATGTAGTAATTAGAGCAAAGCTTAAACTGAGACAATGGAATCTGATTCAAACCACTTGGTGGGTGAGTCCAATATTAATGGTTTAAACATGCTCACATGGAACAGTAACTTTTGAATCAAATTTTAGAAAATGTACATTTTCTTGGATCCAATGGTTTCTTCCTTGACTTGATTACTGATGTGATTGCTGTTTCCTGTGTTTTTCCCTTCAATGATTTATTTAAACTTATAACCTTTCAGAATATATTTCTATTGAATTTAAACTAGACAGATACATGAAAACTAACATATATTTCTGAATATATTTAAACTTATAATCTTTCTTTCTCCAATCAACTGACTTAGGAAAATTGACATCTCTATATATTCTTTTCTGCTTGTTTTGCTTATATATTTTTTTCCATAAATGGTAGTATCCCCGTAAACCCGATGGACAAGGAATGGACAAAGAAAAACCCCGCGAGTAAAGAGTACCAAAATGGTCTTGATTATTTTCTAGATTCTGCATACACCAAAGGAAAACCTCGCGGGAAAGAGATTTCGTGTCCTTGTGCTAATTGTTACAATAGCAATTGGTTTACAAGGAATGAAGTACGAAATCATTTAATTGCATTTTGATTTCAAAAGGGATATGATGTTTGGGTTCGACATGGTGAGAAGAAATCGAAACTCGGTGATCTTAATGATAATCATATGAATGAAGAAGAGGATCAACTTGATGATATTGATGGACTATTGCATGAAAGATTTAGAGATGTTGTACAAGAAGACAATGATGTAAATATAAGCCTCAATGAAGATGCAAAAAAGATCTATAATCTAGTTGAAGAAGCCAAACAAGATTTGTATCCCGGTTGCAAAAACTTCTCTAAATTGTCATTCATCATTCGTCTTTATTTATCGAAATGTCTTTATGGTTGGAGCAATGTATCATTCGATGCTCTATTAGAGTTGTTGAGAGAAGCTATGCCTTCATTAAACATCCCTGATACGTTCAACAAAACTAAAGGCATGATAAGGGACTTAGGGCTAGATTATAAGAAGATCGATGCTTGCCCTAATGATTGCATGATATATTGGAAAGATCACGAGAATGATACTTCTTGCCATGTTTGCGGTGCTCCACGATGGAATGAAGATATCAAAGGAAATGATCATGTTGAAAAAAATCATAAGTCTCATAAAGTTCCTTCAAAGGTTTTGAGGCACTTTCCATTGATTCCTAAACTTCAATGACTGTTTATGTGTTCAAAGACAGCTAGCTCATTAAGGTGGCATGATGAAGAGTGTTCGAAAGATGGTAAGTTGAGGCATCCTGCAGACACAGAAGCATGGAAAGAATTTGATAAATGTCACTCTGAATTTGCTGATGAGCCACGTAATATAAGACTTCGATTAGCCATCGACGGATTTAATCCATTTAGAACCATGAAGTTGTCTTATAGTACTTGGCCTGTGGTATTAATACCATATAAATTTCCACCTTGGTGGTGTATGAAGGCTGAGTATTCTATGTTTTCTTTATTAATCCCTGGACCACTTTCACCAGGGAGTAACATTGATGTATACCTTCAACCATTGATAGAAGAGTTGAAAGTGTTATGGGATTTGGGTGTAGAAACATATGATGCATCACTAAGTCACTTTCCAAATGCGGGCAGCTCTCTTGTAGACTATTAGTGACTTTCCTGGGTATGTTATGTTGAGTGGGTGGAGTACAAAAGGGAAACTAGCATGTCCTTGTTGTAACTATAACACTAATTCAATATATTTGAATTATAGTAAAAAGGTGTGTTATATGGATCATCGTGTTTTTCTGCCTGAGGATCATAAATATAGGTCAAATGCTAGAAATTTCAATGGGAGCATAGAAGATAGGCCACCGCCGGAGTCGTTAACTTGGGAAGAAATCTCAAACAAACTAAAGTATGTCAACAATTCTTTTGGGAGGTTGGAAAAGAAAAGTAATAATGGTCCATGGATGAAAAAATCAATATTTTTTGAGTTACCATATAGGAAGCATAATAATTTACGCCACAACCTTGATGTGAATCATATAGAGAAAAACATTTTTGATAGTATAATTGGGACTTTGTTGGATATCCCAGGAAAGACGAAAGATCATAAAAACGCACGTTTAGACTTGAAAGAGATGGGTATTAGAAAGAAAATTCACCCAAATGAGGTATATCAAGGAAAAAAGTCAGTGTTTGCAAAAGTGATAACACGAAATCGTATATATATTTTGATGCATAATTCAACTAAAGTTTAACTGTTTTCGATCCGATTTCGGGTTGTTTCCGTGTTATTTGTATGATGTTTTGCAGGTATTTGATGATCACGTCTAAACAAGGCATTATGAAGAAAAGAAGCAATCTCAGATGAAATATGGACGAAAACCGGATGAAAACATCATGAAAAGCGCAAAATGCTGATTTTGCTGCTGTGACGACCATCACAGCTCCATGACGACCGTCACACCTTGTGACGACCATCATGCAGGCAAATACGCCCCACTTCAAATGCACGTGAAAGAAGCAGTTCCAAGTCCCAAATAGTGGACCACTACTCCCTGATAATTCTGCCTCAAAGTCCACCTTCTTCAAGTTATAACGTTAGAATTCCATTTCTATAAAAGGGGAGAAGGGGGACTCAGACAGGGAGCCGCATTCAGACAACGAAGTGCTGCCAATTTATCTACAGAGCAACCTTTCCAGTTTTTAATATTCTTATTTGTTTCTATTTTCTTTTTCTGCATTCCTTCCATTCCTTCTGTAATTTTTATTTCCGTTGTACGATCAAATTGGCACAAAGACCAGAATCCTGCCAACATCTGTGGAGGATCTGCCCAAAGGTCAATTGGAATATTTACAGGTTTCTCATTTCAATCGTAATTCCAGTTTTTATTATGATACATGGTATTATTTATTGTTTTTATTTATGTTTTACCTTTCCCAAATCCATGTCTAGCTAAATTTAAGTAATCGATATGTAGTAATAATTCGAAAGGGATTTGATAATAACCGGTTGAAAACTGTCTTTTTCAAAAGTTATTTATGGTCTGAGTGTTTAAAATTAATTTACTGAATAAACTTCGTCGCGAAAGCGAGAACTTATTTAAAAGTAGTTTTGCCACGAAAGTGGGAAATTAATTAAGGTACGAACCAACAAGCGAAAGTTGCGGCAAGACCAGATAGTAAGCACTAGTCATTCATTTTAATAACAGCGAAAGCACTTTAAAATGAATTAGAACTTAGAGATTTCCAAAAAATAATTTTAACCCTGAATGGGACACGAAAGCGTACGTTTGGCCCTTAGAATTATGATTAGCGTCAATAACCATCGTGAGGCGAGAGTCTTCAGATTACCATTTTCTACTTAAATAAACTCTGAAAAACATTTCGTAGGCTGGTAACTTGTCAAATCCCTGAAGAACATAAATACTGCATACCGATTCAATTAATTATACTTTAATTAACATTCTTAGTTCCCTTTAGTAACAATCTTATTCCCTCAAACATTATCTACCTAGCTAAACATAGTAACTCCCGAGAACACTAGTTTGATTACGAGTCCCTGTGGGATCGATATCTATTATTACTACGTGATAGACTGTGCACTTGCAGTTAGGTTGTATTAGACATAGAAAGTCGCGATCAAGTTTTTGGCGTCGTTGCCGGGGACCCGTTTATTCAATAGTGTAACCTTCTGTTACGCCGTATAGACTAGGTTAACAATTTCATTTTTCCTTTACTAGTGTTGTCGATTGTATGCCAAGTGATCGCCCGCAAGGCGATATCTTGAAACCTTCAGTCGCAGAACTAAAACGCTTCTTACATCTAAGAAGCCGAATCATTGAGTACCAACTCAAACATAACATTCCCGATCCTCTCACTCCCATTCCCAAATCCGAAGAAGAATCAAACATGGCTGAAGGACCTCCAAACAAACCGCTGAAGGCATACGCTACGCCCTTTCAGATGGAGCCTAGGAGTAGCATTACTGCCCCAGCTATTACCCGAAATGATTTTGAGCTGAAACTATCATTGTTGTCAGCTGTATAACAAAACCAATTCTCAGGAAACGTAACTGAGGATCCGAACGAACATCTAACGAAGTTTGTACAATATGCAGACACGGTGAAAGCAAATGGAGTAACTCCAGACGCGATAAGACTTCGTCTTTTCCCATTCTCTCTTAGAGACAGATCGTGGACATGGGTACAATCCTTACCATCCAACTCCGTTACGACGTGGGAACAATTGAAGAACGTCTTCTTAGCGAGATATTTTCCGCCAAGCAAAACTGCTATGCTTAGAGCTCAAATCAACGGATTTCGATAAAAAGATACTGAATCTCTTTACGAAGCATGGGAACGATTCAAAGATATGATGAGAACATGTCCTCACCACGGTTTAGAAGACTGGGTGACAATCCATACTTTTTATAATGGGCTTTTATACAATACTAGATTGACAATAGACGCTGCCGCGGGCGGTGCACTTATGGATAAGCCATACGACGAAGCCTATCAATTAATTGAAAACATGTCTCAGAACCATTGCCAATGGCGAGGTGAACGCACTCCAACAGAGAAAACCACAGCGAAAGGTGGGATGTACGAGACCAGCAGCCTTGAAAAGTTCAACGCTAAAGTAGATGCTCTAGCACAGAAGATTGACAGTCTGACCGTTAACCCCACTGCAACCGTCGCTGCCGTAACTCCAAATTGCGAGTTATGCGGAAGCACCACTCATAATGCACCCGAATGCCCATTGCTAGCCGGAATCCCACCAGACCAAGTAAATTATGCTCAAGGAAACCCTTATGCAAATACTTACAACCCAGGTTGGCGAAATCATCCAAACTTTTCTTACAAAAGTGAAAATGCATTGCAAATGCCTACTGCTCCACCAGGATATCAGAAACCAGCTGCTGCTCAGACTGCACCTAGGAAATCAAACCTCGAATTGATGATGGAAAAATTCATAGCTACTCAAGCTCAAACAAACAAAGAATTCCTGAATCAAAACATACACACTAGCGAGCAAATTAAACAGTTGACCGGAAAAGTAGACGCTTTAGCCACCCACAATAAAATGCTAGAAACACAGATATCACAAGTGGCTCAACAACAAGCCTCTGCTGCCGCACCCGCTGGCACATTTCCTGGACAACCCGAACAGAATCCAAAAGGCCAAGCAAATGCTGTAATACTAAGAAGTGGAAAAGAATTGGACGAACCAATCGATTCGAGGACCGAAAACTCAGCCATGCAACAAAAACCAACTGAACAAGTAGAAAAGGAATCTGAGTTAGAGAAGAAGGAAGACAACGAGAAGGAGGATACCGCAAGTGAAAAAACTCAAGCACCTCCAGCGCCATATAAACCACCTATCCCTTATCCGCAAAGATTAATAAACTCCAAAACTTCAGGACAGTTTAAGAAATTTGTAGAGCTCCTTAAACAGCTGAATATTACTATTCCTTTTACAGAAGCGATAACTCAAATGCCGTCATACGCTAAATTTCTCAAAGAAATCCTGTCGAATAAGAGAAAGATCGAGGATAATGAAACAGTTACACTTACTGCAGAGTGTAGCACCATTATTCAAAACCGCATGCCTCCTAAATTAAAAGACCCAGGTAGTTTCTCCATACCCTGCGTCATAGGAAAGTTCGTAATAGACAAAGCTCTATGCTATTTAGGAGCCAGTATCAGTGTTATGCCTTTATCTATATGCAAAAAGCTGAATATGGGAGACCTCAGACCAACCAAAATGTCCGTACAATTAGCTGACCGATCAGTAAAATACCCCGTCGGAATACTGGAAAACGTTTCAGTACGCATAGGACAATTCTACATCCCAACCGACTTCATAATCATGGACATCAAGGAGGACACTGTTACCCCAATTATCCTAGGAAGACCATTCCTAGCTACAGTCGGAGCTATTATAGACGTGAAGAATGGAAGGCTAACATTCGAAGTAGGAGAAGAAAAGATAGAGTTCATTCTCACCAAGTTCTTACAAGCACCAGAAATAATAAAGATTCAAACACCCGATATTTCTGAAGACGATGATTGGCGTAAACCGTATAAAGACGACAGCCTAAGCGAAAGCTTAGCACTGACCCCAAACCATATGCCAGGTCCGAAGAACCCATGTTTAGAACCTAAAACACTACCCAAAAACCTTAGATATGAATTTCTAGACGATGAACTAAAAAGACCA